TCATTACACCAGATGGCAGTTAGTGTATCGATGACGTTATTTGCCATTACTGTGATTACATCAGTTAGTAGTAAGTGTATTGACTACGCTATTAGTAATTGTAGTGACTGCATTAGTTTGCAGTAAGTGAATTGATTACGTCATTAACCATTATAGTCACTACATAAGTTACCAGTAAGTGTATTGATTACCTCATTAGCCATTAAAATCATTACAATCAGATGGCACTTAGTGTATTGATTATTAGCCACCATAGTCGCTGACGCTGCCCTAAGTATTTATTGGCAACTGGACCTGCTGTTGCTGACACACTATGAGAAACTTGTTACACATAGTTATGAGGTCACATAACCCTATATGGTCTTCTGACATACTCGTCATCTCACCTTTTCAATCATTATGACAATGGTTGCATGTTCATACAGCGCCTGAGATATTACAGATTTGCATATTAAGAGGTCACATGATCATATATGGTCTTCTGATATATTAGTCATACCTCTTGTACAATGCAATCATTATGGAACTAGTTACGTGTTCATATCTGCAACAATGCTTGATATATTACAAATATGTCTAATAATAATATCACATGACACACACTCATATCACCACAATTAATGTCGGCTACTATTTATCCAATTAAAAACAAAAATTCGATTTGCAACCATTTATCTTAGTGTATTAGGTATTGCCCGTTCAGAATAAACTGCCTCATTTCCCATGATGCATTGCAATATATGGGGAAAATGTAATAAAACATTCACAAATCTTCTTCTCTAGAACATTTATTTTACTCGGTTTTTAGAAACGAAAAGTTGGCGATCTGCAAATAGTTGTTTTGATTCCAGGGTATTGTAACCGAGAAATCAAAAGCATATATAATAAACAAAGCGCTCGTTTAAAACTAAACTTACAGAATATAGCTGTGTTACCAAGCAATGAAGTGGTCTCGCGCGAAACTACATATTTTGGTCATATCAAATAAAAGTTATGTTATACAGAAATTCCGAATATTCCCAATCTCCGACACAGCAGATCTTCGTCTTACGTAAGTCATGTGAGAGAAACCTATTTTTAGTACTTTCCTTGTAAACGGGATTTGTTGACAACAACAAAACTGGAACTGAGAACGAGTACACTTCGCCGAACAATAGCGACGAGACAAAAGTAGTACTACCAAACAAAACACTTATTCGGCGAGTAAATTCTGTCTCCCTGACCTGACAAACAATTCCACGAAAACTTAACTATGCACACTTTACAGTTCTTCACGAGAAGATCAATGGTTCGCATAATTGTAAGAAAAACTGTCATCAGAACTGCATGCACTACTGGGGATTTAAACACTGTATGACCATACATCACCATAAATAAACGGTTGGCTTGTTAGCTACAGAGAGATGGATTAATTTAGAGAATTAATTTCGTACGCGTACTGTTCTGTCGCACGTGTTCATTAATATCGGGCTCGATAGACACTAGTTGCTTCAATGGTTTAATGAATACGAACACAGTTAATATCGCCCCTGGGGATTTTGTTTTCAACCAACAGTGACGATCACTGTGTAATTATAGCATAAATATGCATAAATAATGTACAACCCTGGAACTCACGATCACGATAAGCCTTGTCTCGTCTCGCCTCGTCTCGCTTCGTCGCGCCTCTTAGGCAGTTATATGCAGATTAACAAAACACGCACAAGCTGGTTAAAGTATATTGTCGACACATTAAAACCACAACCACGATCAAATCAAATATTAGCGCAAATATTAACCATTTTCTGGGGTGGGACACGTATGAAGTGATTTCTCTGTACATCGACGACCACCAATGTCATCGACTTGATGCTGGTTTGCTATATATATATACGATTTATTTGGAATGAGAGTGTGTTATGGGTTGCAAGCAAAATACAAAATAAAATTAAAACATCGGCATTAATTAACGTTTTTGTTTATTTGTTCATCTTAACTTTCTGCTGTGTAATCACTCTATGTATTCAAAGCACCGTTTCTCGTCGTTGCAGTGTTAAATTTAGTCCACTCAACTTATACGCCGGACTTATGCTTCGAACATCCAACGCCCAGAGAATAGTTTACAAGTTTAGGCAACAGGCTCGATCAAGCAATGTTTTCAACATGTCGATGGAAATATTGATTTATGTCTGTGGAGAAAATAACCATGTAATCTTGTTCTGCTGAACGATGAAGGACAATTTAATTAGTGTTCGACCTCCTTTACGACTGCTATAAATAAAATTCGCGTACAACTTAGGGGTTGCGCTGTTAGAACAAAATTGGGACGAGCTGTGTATACCATAGGGTGTTGTAAAAACGCTCGCCGAGTTTGCGAAGGTTCCACGATAGGCAGAGCGCGATCACGATTCACACCGCATTGACTGTGTTCACTAAACTATACATGATAATTACATTGGCTGTAATTAATGGTGCGTACGATCTATTGTTATTTATACTTCCCTGTTGGATGGGCTAAAAATTACAAGAATTAGCGTAAATTCGCGGCTCTAAATATTTATTTATATATTTATGTTTATTCATTATTTCAATAATATGTGTAATTAAAATCTCTGACTCGATAGTTGCTGCCCTTGAACGAATACGCATATATAATGGTACCATTAAAAGTATAAATATAAACACATAAATAGACTGATTAAGTCACATGACATACAATGCACCATCATGTTGGATACATGTGACGACAAGAATGCCCAGAATAGCAATAAATTAACTAACTAAAAAGTTATTTAGTTATTTAGCGACAAAATAGTAACCTGTCACTTCGTATTTTGTAATAATTCATAACTATCTCATTATAATTATACCACTAAGCAACTATAATTGAATCATTGTTTTTTTTGATAGCTGATGTTGTTAAAGCGGAGGGTCGTCACCTGCGCACGCGCGGGAATTGAGTCCCAAGCGACGATAACAACACACGCTAAAAACGCAAAGGCTTTTGGGTAGTCGCTTGTTTGTAAACAATGACACGCTATACCCATCTGACGCATGCGCAGGTGACGACTCCCCCGCTTTAATTGAATCTCCTGGGACAGACGACTACATATTAATGTTATGGATCACGAGACATTGCCATTCGCTGATGAATGATGTCATGACTCGGGGTGAAAGGTTAACTCTTGCTGTGTTGACAATTGTATTGAACAGGTTAGACGCAGTAATATAATAATATGTCTAATGAATGTATATAATGTGAGTCGCGATCGGTGTATAGTGTATATTTCACAAATCTATACTTCGATTTGATGATTTTCCCGAATGCTGACATAACAGGTAACGTTACAGAGAGTGTCTACGGTTGTAGCAGTTTCGTGCTTATGCTGTCACGGTGTTTTTGTAATAATGACATATGCTATACGCTATGTTGTGGTGATCTCCGTTATATATTCCGTGTACGGTGATATGCCAGGTAAGATGTTATTGCATGTTTTCCTGTGCGTTTATTCTCACGCTTACAATGGTCCTTCTGACTTTTGCAAAATCCTATTTCATATAAAGTTAAAGAAAATGCCAATGCAAGATGTCACATAACACAACAGCCGCGGCGGTTCCCAGAAACAACTTTTAACAGTTTTGTATATTTGTTTGTGGCAGGGGTTAGATTACCATATAAAACAACAAAATTCGTTCAACTATTTTAAACATTATGGCCTGCTTTCAATTTTGTTTCAACAATAGATCATTAAATACATGTATGTTAACGTGGGTAATACTTTTGCAGTGGTAGCACGATGGAGAGACGATCTTAGATGTGGTCCTGAGTTCCAAATCACTGAGTTGAACACCACCAGTGAATGTGATCCATACAGCAATACTCCATGCTGTTCTCCGTATGGGTGGTGCGGCTCAACACAATCACATTGTCATTGTGCAATGTGCAACGATTATAGAAAACGTAAGTCAATAATACTAGCAGCACATGTCTAGATCTCTAAAACAAGATAGTTTCGCCTAATAAAGAGGGGACATCATGAGTCGCTGACGTCACCAGGTGTTCTGAACGAAGAAGCACACCTTGCATACTATCATAATTGCCCCATATACTACATAGTGTAATATTCTTTTTTTCGCAAATAGCCGCTGAGATCTCACTGAGAGCGAGAGACCCACAAGACTTGGTTTCGTCTCGTATATAGTTTTTAATTTGCTAACGTCATCGCATTTATTGTTTTCCTGACCATGGAAACACTAGTATTTGGAAGAGTGGACGCAATGGGGGTAAACAATGGAGAGACAGGTTCTCGCGGCTCTCTCGCTCACAACGAGATCTTGGCGACCATTTTCGAATAAGGTCGAATAATCTTTCTTGTTAGTAATTGTGTGACAGATATGTCCATAGAATATGTCGAATTTGCTAAATCAAGTAGCTTCAATACTAGTTGCAATGTATTTTTTGTTACGAAAATCTTCTACAAGCTGTATAATATATACATGTATGCTTCATTAACTTGGATTAGATGTTACTTGTTACTATGAGTTATCACGAGTACATCGCAAAGTATTCACGAATGCAGTACGTAACGACGATTTTATCGATCGACTCGTAGCGAAGGTCGGTGCGATCCAGTACTGCCTGCAAATGTTTACAATTTTTTATGAAAATTCAATGTCACAGTAATAATTATTTTAATCAAATTTGTGTGTTAAATCATTTAGAGTTGTGCTAGGGATGTGGATTAGTTTACTATTTATGATAAAAGTCTTCTTAATTAGTAATGGTATCTTAGATTTGACTACTAAACTAAGCCGATGGTTCACTGTACGATACAATGATGGAAATGAAAATATGTTCAATATTTGGTCAAATATATTTTATTTATATCGTTCATCTAACTTTTATTTCAATATGTAGGCTTAGATCGAATTACGGTAACCATGGTAACGCCAACAGTCATCGCAATAGCTTGGATATCGCCACAAGAACTGATTGATCCATTGTATAACATCACCTTAGATATTGAGCCTCTTGATGGCAGCATGGAATTTCCTTTGACTATTCAAGCAAACATCACAGAATTTGTTTATGAAAACTTAGTACCAAATACAGAATACAATATTACTATACATGTACCAACGAACCCACCGCGCATTGCTGCTCTATTGCAAAAGACAGGTACATTAGTTTTTACATTTTTTCCGT